CTAGCTTTTGGGGGGTGGGGGAACATGAAGAACTGTCCTCGCAGAGGAGGGAGAGCTTGTACCTGAGTAAACCGTGGTCTTAAAGATGCCACTGGACTCTTTTGGATTGCTAGCTATGGGGGGGATGCGCAGATCTGCCCTCACAGAGGAGGGAGAGCTTGTATCTGAAGGTGGGCCGGCAGGGGGGCTCTGCAACTTACCTGGCTGCTTCTTGCTCCTCGTGGCCCAACTGAGGGCTTTTGGGTGCTGGGGGCGGGGCTTGTTGCATGTGCCCGCCCCCTGGGCTCCTTACTGCCGGAACTCCGCTCCTGTGCGCTCCCGCAGGAAATTACCTCTGGGCGGTATATATATATATAGACACACTATGGCTTATACCACAAATGCATAGAAATCCTGCTAGGGCTTATTTTTGGGGTAGGTCTTATTTTCGGGGAAATGGTATATATCTGGCCAGTTTCTTCATACCCTCCGTGAACCTGATGAAGAAAGCTGTGTTTCTCTAAAGCTTATGCTACAATAAAGTTTGTTAGTCTTAAAGGTGTTACTGGGCTTTTTACTATTCTGAAAGATCAGGAAACCTTTAGTGGCTGGGGGTAGTGGAGCAGGAGGAGCAAAAGGGCGTGTTGGGATATGACGGCAGAGATGTGGAGGGAGGAGACAAAGGATTGCTTTGAAGATGAGGGCCAGATGCGGCTATAAGGATGGGAAAAAGAGCTCCCCCTGCGCAGGCAGACAAGGCAAGCAAATGAGAGCAGGAAAGAGGTGGGGGGGGGTGAGGTCCAGCAGTGGAGAGTGGGTAGGAGAAGGTTGCAGCAGTCAAGGGGCAGGACGGCCAGAGCATCAGCCAGAGTTCTTGCTGGCGGAGTACAGAAAAAGGGCCCTAGGGCTGGCCATGTTCCCCTGACCTGGCAATCAACTGTATTGGAGGGAAGAGGAAAATAAAAAAAGGACACCCAAGTTTTATGCCTGTTCTGACAGGTGAATGGTGACATTGTCAGGGGGTACGGAGAGTGTAGTTTTGGATGCACTAAGTCGGGGGCAGCCATGAGACTTCTCAGCAGAACACTCAAGATGGTCAATTGGTGACACGAGACGGGGGGGAGGGAGTTCAGGGGATCTGGTGGGCATGGAGGTAACCACAGGGTGTGGTGAGGCCTTCCAAGGACCGTGTGTTAAGAGAGAGAGAGAGCGCAGAAGAGAGCCGAGGGCAGATCCAGGGGAGGAAGCGGCAGAAAACTAAACTCAGTCCGTTTAGAGACAAAGGGGTCGTGGCTCAGTAGTAGAGCATCTGCTTGGCACACAAGAGGTCCCTGGTTCAATCCCCGGCATCTCCAGTTAGAATGATCAGGCAGTGGGTCTTGTGGAAGACCACGGCCTCTGGAGGGCCACTGATAGCCTGATTAGGTAGTACTGACCTTGATGGACCGATCGTCTGATTCCGTAGATAGTACTGACCTTGATAGTCTGATTCCATAAAACGCAGCTTCATATGCTCATATGGGGAGGCTTGTTTGACGGGATTTATCCATTGAGACAGGGAAGGAAGAGAAAAGAAGGAGATCTGGAAGAGGGAGAAGGTGATGAGCAGGGCTTTTTTTGTAGAAAAAGCCCAGCAGGAACTCATTAGCATAATAGGCCACACCCAACAGCAGAAACTCATTTGCCTATTAGGCCACACCCCAGACAGCACAGCTCATTCGCATATTAGGCCACATCCCCATGCCTTCCCTTGGCTTGTCCGGGCAAGCTGACCCTTGTTCAAGCCGGGGAACACATGGAAGGCATTTAAATGCCTCCCCGATCCTTCCAGGGGGCCCCCTGGTCCACCTGCCTCAAAGTCGCCAGGGGGGGTCTCTCTCCAGGCCTTCCCTCTGTAGCCACCACTCTCACAGAGGTTTTGGCTGTAGTGGGTGTGGCCAACTCTGAAGCCACCCGGAACTCCGTTCCTGTGCGTTCCTGCCCCAAAATAGCCCTGGACTGATGAGAGAGGTCAAAGGAAACAATCGTAATGTTCTCACTGGAAAATGGGGGCACAGTGTTCACTCTAAGCCGGATTAGCGTGAGCCAGCTCACAGTTTTTTGGGCTCCGGCTCACACATTTTTGTCCCAGCTCAGGAAGGGAGGGCTCCAGAGCAAACTAATTTATGCAGCAGCCAAATGGCTCGCTCACTCAACTTGAATGCCGGTAGCTCACAAAGTAGAATTTTTGCTCACAAGACTCCACGGCTTAGAGGGAGCAACTGGAGAAAGTGAGACTGGGTTGGAACTGAATGGCGTGGATCCTGTCTAGACTTGCCACAGGGCAAGGCACGGCAAATGTTGCCAGTTCTGCCCCCCCCCGGTGGGAGACCTCTTGATTCCCCCCCCCTCAAGCTGTTCCTGGGGGTTTCTTGTTCCCTCGGAGAAGCATTTGGGGGGGGGGGCATTTTAAACTGCTGTGGGAAAGGGGAATCAGCAGAAATCACACACCCCTTGTGCCTGGGGGAAATTCTAGGCAGGATTTAAGCCTATGTTTCATTGTGTAAAAAGTCCTTAAACATAGAAAAACTAACCTGCCAAAGTAGTCTAGAACTCTCTTGGTTGGCACCAGTAGTTCCCTCTAACCTGAGTTAGTGTGAGCTAGCTCACAGTTTTTTGGGCTCCGGCTCACCCATTTTTGTCTTCGCTCAGGAAGGAGGGCTCCAGAACAAACTGATTTATGCAGCAGCCAAATCGCTCGCTCACAACTTTGATGCCAGGAGCTCACAAAGTAGAATTCTTGCTCACAAGACTCCACAGCTTAGAGGGAGCATTGCACGCTAGTTTTCTAGCAGCAGGATGTTTCTGAATGTGCCATTCACTTTTTTTAAAAACAATTTATTAGGATATAATGAGAAACAAAAGATTCAAACATATATCAAATACAATTATATATCCTTCCCTCCTCCCTTCCCCCCCCTTCTCGGCTTCCCACAGTGCTCCAACCTCCAGCCCAATTCTTAAATTTTCTTTGTAACACCTTTTCTCTTTTTTCACTTCCACAGGTAACTTATTCTTCAACCGTTATCCTTATACATGTATTTATTTTCTACTATCCTTTAACTTTCAATAATTCTCAAAGCAAATCATTCACTTCTGAGTTCCAGGTTTAACCAGAAATGAATCTTGTGGCATCACAGTAGACTCACACCCCCACTCGAGCCCTC